TATATATATATATATATATATATATATATTAATAGTTTAAGCTATTAATATCGGCAATTGAACTTTTGGGTGGCATCAATTGTGTTTTTTTTGCCATTCGCAGGAGGGCTCGATCTCTGTTACTGAAAATATATCACAAACGATTCTTTATCTTAAATTGGGCACTAATTGTACTTTATGTTGAGCAGCTAGATGTGAACTCCAACCACTAGAAATTGCAATACCGACCTTTCTATATATCATCTTGAGTTGTTTACCACCCTGCTTTTTCCACTGTCAACACCACAAGCACCGTACAGAGTGCAGTGAATTATGTGTGTACCTGGACAGTAGTGTAAGCTTCTGCTCTAACATAATCTCCAGCTTTTGAGCCTGTTTGGAGAGCCAGTGGTCCACGCCATGGTAGCGGTAGCAGTTCTCCAACATCAGCCTGAAGTCAGCCACAAACTCTGTTATGCTCTGATACTCCAGGCTGACAAACTTCTCCTCCATCCTCCGCAAGCACATGGACTGCTTGAGCCTCGCCTGACCAGGAGCGCAGACACCACCGACACCACACTGGACCTCCTGATGTCCCACGGCGTGGAGGAACAGGCCGGTAAGTGCCTTGTGCTTGTCCAGAAGTAAGCCAGAGAAGATCCTATAGGCTTGCTGGACCTCATTGGTCATGGTCTCCTCAAAGTTGGTGGTGACACAGACTTCGGGGAGCGAAATGTCACTGTTGGAGAAGTCGGACATGCCATCATTGCTGTTCGCTGGGTGGTCCCCAGGAGCGACAGTGCTGAGACCGTCCTCGGACGCTTCAAAGTCCATGTCATCAGCGCAAGCCCTTGTCCATACAGAACCTGAAGACATGACGCCGGACTTGGCCTAACCCTTATGGATGAGAGTGTGCAAAGTGTTCACAGCTGTCCATCATATTGTTGTTGTGATGGAGAATCCTACAATGAGACAAAATGAGTGGTTGTTAGTTGATAGGTGAAAACGCTCAAGACTGTAGAGACGATTGTGGACTAGGGTTGCAATGGGGTGGACATTGTCTATGTAAAGTTAAGTAGGGAATATTGGAAAATTATACATATAAATATAAACATTGTTTCGTCATCAATTTGCTAAACAACCTTCAGGGTCACAGCTGAGATGAAGCCTCTGCCAGCTGACTTCAAGTCAATCTCTGTGCGCGGGTTTTCACATACTTTGGCCAATAAAGATTTTTCTGATTCTGGTGTCAAAATGACAGCAAGTAGAGGGATTTAATCATTAAATCCTTATGCCTATCATTCAATTTCAGCACGCTACCATTTCAAGTCACTGCCATTGACACAACTAATTATTCAAACTTCCTGTGACGGCTCACAGCTTACACTTCTAAATTTTACATACCCACCGCAACTTTTTGTTTTGGTTTACATCCACACGAGCGCGCTTGAGGTTAGCAGTTAGCCTGCTAGCTTAGAAAGTAAACAAAAGTTTCTTCTTCGTCCAACCTGGCGATACATTTATACAATAAGCACACAAACACGTTAAATCAGACCACGTACCGTAACATTTTAAACGCAGCTCAAAATCCCACCGAAAGCACTGATCTTTTTATTTTATTTTATATTTTATTTTATTGCCAGGAGAATAGCGGTCAGTTTGCTAGAGCTAGCTACTCACGATTGTCTACCGGACTTGGCCTACAGTTGCTCCGCTCGGTCTCCATGGTCGCGTCGCATTAAACGTCGTTTGGGCAAAAAGTAAAGTAAAGAGGGCGACAGCTCATGTCGGAGAAATGTCAATGGCGGTGAGCTGATGGCTAATGCTAAAGCAAACGCCGTGTTATTAGCCGGGCAGGCGAACCCTCAGCGGAGAATCCCAACAAGAGGACGGCATTTCATTCGAATTAGCCGTCTGGGCTAACTGAGTCGGGGGGCGGGGGGCTTTGGAAGTAGAAAACAAGGGGATGTCAGAATCGTAACTTTTGGAGACAAATGCGTTTTCCCATACGGTGGTCATACGGGCTTACTTTATCTCAGTGACGTCAAAAGCGCTGAGAAAATTCCACTCATTCGCCAATTAAATACCGACGAAGCTCCTCGGCCACCATACTTTTGGAAACGAATGAACTATCTCCATCCATCCTTATTTTGGTGACATATTGTGTATAACCATGATCAAATAACAACATTACAAAGATCTTAAACACCCTGTTAAATGTCAAACTCGAGCCACAATACTCTTATTTCCCATCGCTAGATGTCGCAAGAAGCCGAGGCATCACTTGTGAAGCTTTCAGAGATGTTCTTCCACAAAGGGATACACCCTACACAATTAAAACATATCGACCTCGAGAGACGATAATGATTAGTCAAGTCAAGTCACATTTATTTATATAGCCCTTAATAACAAACAGTTTCAAAGGGCTTCACATGCCCACAGGTGACAAATATTAACGACATCCCCTGACCTTAACCCCCAGGAGGGCAAGGAAAAAAACAACATCTGGGGAAAATTTGAGAAACATTGAGAAGGGTCCGTAGATGGTCGAATCTCTCTTGCAGTATGACCAGGCTGCAATGGATGCCGATTGTGAAAGTGCATACATAAAATTTAGTTGTGTTGAGCGCTTGTGCAATCACACATAACAAAAGTAACAATTTACAAGGTGACTTAAACTAAATTATTTTCCGTCAACATACTTGTAGACAAGTACGTCTTTCAGGTACTTTCTACCAAACTGGTGGTGAACACTTTTGTTTTTGTTGTGAACGGCGCCTTTAAAAACAGAGCGGAAAGTCTCGCGGCCGAGATCTCGCGAGACTCAATTGGCGCCGCGACCTCATGTGAAACACCATCCGCACGAGCCACAGCACACACTAGTCCTCCGACCGACGTTTTTTTTGCCTCTGCGGCGAAAAAACCGCGATGGAGATTCGGATTGCGTTCGTCTGAACCACCGCGCCCCTTTTTAGGAATCCGACAATTCCCCCGCCAACCATCCAATCGCGCATTTTAGTCGAGACGTTTTTAAACAGGGGCGGCGCGACGATGTGGATTCAGGTCCGCACCATAGACGGGAAGGAGACCCGAACCGTGGACGATCTGTCCAGGCTGACCAAAATCGAAACCCTCCGCGTGAAAATTCGGGATATCTTCAACGTGAGCCCGCAGCAACAGCGCCTCTTCTACCGGGGCAAGCAGGTAGGCTACCCTGGTCACGCAACATTCGTCTTATTTTATGTATTTATGTCCATGCAGCGAAAAACTAGTGACACTCGGTGGCTTCCTGTTTTGATAGGAATTCGCCAATAGCTGTTGCGCAAGAAACCCCCCTCCGCTCTCTGTTTTCAAAGAGTGGTCCTCACGGTCATGTCAAGTTGTTTTGGGAGTCCCCCTGCACACACAACATGCGCCGTGGACATGTTTGTTTACATTGACGCGGTAGACTGGGAGAGAGCGGAAGGAGAGCACCCATCCACTTCACCAATGCTGTTTTGCACGTTAGCATCAATTAAGGTCATTACCTCATTATATCTGTTTGGTTAAAACCGAGGTGGCAAAAGTATTCATCCTCTGTACTATAAGTACAAGTACAGATGCTTGACTTTAAGTACAAGTACAGATACTTGAGTAAAACAAACTGAAGAACTGTGCCAACGTCTTTTGCAGCTCAAGAAAGTTCAGGTTCCAAACGCAGTATCAAGTACTGAGCCAAGGTTTTTTTTTTCAGTTCAAGAAAGTTCCGATTCCAAATGGAGTATCAAGTCCAGGTATCTTATTTGAAGGTATCGGACATTATTGGAAGCTGCCGATACCAGCCACGATACTTAACACGCACACACACAGACAGATCTACCTATCTGTCTATCTATCTATACACACACACACACACACACACACACACACACACACACACACACAAAATCTGACATCAAGCAAGTAGTCCTCTGCA